TGAAACTTGGCTTTCAAACGACATACTTGATGCAGAGATTGAACTCAGTGAGGTGTCAGTCATTCGAAATGATCGTCCATCTCGCGGGGGCGGTGTTGCTCTCTACCATCGAGATTATTTGAAATGTGAGGCTCTTACCGAAAATTCCCTTGTTATTCCCGACGCACTATTTCGCCGACTGCACCTAGCAGGTCGAGATGTTGGTTCACAGAAGAAGAGTGACGCCTGCCTCTTAGCAGTTGTCTATAGGCTTCCGAACTCATCAGCAGACAGCGATAACCTTCTGTTAAACGTCCTGCACTATGCTGTTTCGCAAAAGTACTGTCGCCATCTTATAATGGGTGAGTTTAATGTTCCCTCAATAGCATCAGTGCCCCCTAATGGGCCCTTATTTAAAAAGAAACTCCTCGAATTCATGCATATGGCAGTTTTATATAACCGTGTGTATCGACCAACCAGATACCGCGGTTCAAACAAGCCATTACTCCTAGGCTTACTCCTGACTAATGAAGAGCTGATGGTTGAGTCAGTAGCATCCGATCCTCCACTGGGCCGTAGCGACCATTCAGTCCTAACATTCGGTTATGTATGTTATGCCATTAATATTGCTAAAGAAAGAGCGACCCAACGAACTATTACGGACTATTTTAAACGGCACAACTTAGAAGCAACCGTTGACTGGGACCTACAGACGCACAGCTCAGCGAATGACGCGTGGATTGAACTGAAAGATAAAAGTAACTGGATCATACCATCAGCATCGAAGTTTGTACAATTACGAGCATCGCGCCGGAGCAATAAGTGGATCCGGAGAAGAACACGGAAATGGATCAACAGAAAAGATGAAATTTGTAGGCAACATTTACCAACCCCGTGTGATATCACATGGCAGGATTACAAAGTCATCAGAAACTACTGCACGTCACTCATTAGAGCCGATAAGTACGAATGGCGGAAGAATATGGTGCTGAAATTTACGAGTAACACCAAACTGCTATACAGATTTGTGAGTGGCAAAAGAAAGCTTACACCCAGAATACCACCACACAAGACTGCCAATGGCCTAACAACTACTGCTATGGATGCCGCGAAGGCTCTACGCCTGCAGTTTGGCTCGGTAGCTACAAATACTATGGAAGCTTCGCCCTATCAACTCCAAACAAATGTCGTTGGCTTATCAAGCGTCACCTTTACTCCAGCTGCTGTTGCAAGCAAATTACATTCTCTCCGGGAGTATGGTGACATTGGGATTTACATTAAATGCCCAAAAGTATTGAAAACACTTTCTCACGCCATAGCAGAACCACTTGCAACCTTTTCGCAGTGTCTGCTTAACTCCCATACACTTCGATCTGAGTGGAAAAATGGAATTATCACTCCAGTACACAAAGGTAAGCGATTGGATCCTACCAACTACCGACCTATTACACTCCTTCCTGTTTTATTATAAGTGTTGAAATCGGTAATCGCAGTAGGACTGGCGCAATACTTTGAAAGTCAACAAATAATTTCTAGTGCCCAATATCGTTTCAGACGCAGGCGATCTTGTCTCACCAATTCGCTGATTACTCGGGACTCATGGACCACGGTGGCTGATGTAGGAGTCCCAATAGATGTGCTTTATTTGGATTTTGCTAGAGCATTCGGCAGGGTCCATCACTTCTTTCGTCTCCAAAAGCTTGCTGCTTACGGTATCAACGGTTCCATGCTCACCTGGTTGGAAGACTACTTACAAGACAGAGCAATCAAGGTAAGAGTAGCCGACACTCAAGCCTGTGTGTCTCCAGTGGTGTACCACAAGGATCCGTGCTCGGCCCGCTACAGTTTTAGTCTACATTAATAAGCTTCCCGCAGACATTTAATCACCGATGCAAATATTTTCAGATGATGCTAAAGTATGGAGAGCAATTCGCTCAGCATCCGACCGTGTCTACGTCAAGGAAGATCTTACTCGGATTGACCAATAGGCAGGAAGGAAACAGCTCCCATTGAACCGTGTAAAGTATCACCTACTGACGGCGCGCAGCAGCTTCGTTAAGACATAACTTTTGGGGCAACACGTCCTGCAACAGGTGACTAGTGAACGCGACTTGCGTATAATCGTGCAAGAGTCTTGGCAATTCGCTCCAATGTTCGAAAGAAGGAAGTGTAGCGAACTTGAAATTGAGATTTTTCAGGCGAGCTCTCGGCACATTTGAGCGACGGCTAATACCATTGCTGATTAACTCCTACATTCGCCCTCAGGTTGAGTAAGCAATTTAAGCCACGTGTCCATGGTTAAAACGAGACATTTGCTTATTGGAACAACCTCAAAGAAGAGCCACAATGGCAACGCGTGGTGTATCCGTTCTAAGTTACGAACTGTGTCTTCATGTTCTTGATGTGTTCTCCTCAGAATACCGACGGCTTCGCGGAGATCATACTCTCCCACGCCGGATACTAACTGAAATCGAGCATCCATGTACATCACTGTTGACTCTAGCCCCTTACAAACAAAGACTAGGCAACTACCTGGAACTAATGACGCAACCATCCCGTCTGAATTGCAGACAGTATTTTTACTCACTTAGTTTCTGTTCTCACTGGAATACATTACCAATATATGTGGTGAAAGCACCAGACATGGCGACATTCGAAAGACGCTTAGACTTTCATCTTAGTGATAAACGCTGCACAACAGTTTGATAAAGTGCAGTGGTTTAACCACTGATCCTTCACGTTCCACGTTGGAACATTTTGATTTCAATTTCTTTTGCACATCCATCTTGTGGGTATTGTAATGTTATGCTTTTTATCCCACCATACACTATTGAAGTATTTATACTTAAGGCCTGACACTATTCCCTTACCTAACTTGTTTTGGGTTTCTGGTCAAAACTTTTGGTCGAGGCTGCTCTATTGCATGCATGCAAACCCCTTTTGCACGCAACCCTATTTATAGAGCAGTCGTAGGGGTAAATGAATGGTATAGGTGGAAGTTCGTCACATTTATACTCACTCAGACAGCCATCACAGAACCGGATAAGCACTGTACACGCGTTTCATCCTTTCGGTAATCCTCAGCAGTTCACATTCTATCTGACTCTTTTGGAGCTGGAAACTGCAACTCCATTGCTGTCAGACTGTGGTTAAGACAACTGAACTACGAAGGATGGCAAAGACCGTGGTGAATAAGTTACTCGATGTGATACAGCGCGCTCACTGTCCACTGATTTGTACGTTACAGCCATGCAGTGGACAGGGTAGTACCCTCAACAAGCGACGATGGATGTCTGAGTGAGTCTAGATTTGACGAATTTCTACATAACCAGGGGTGTTCAAATTCTGGCCCGCGTTAAAAGTTCAACTGGCCTGCGGCCTCATCATGAATTAATAAATTCAGGCTTGGAATTTTTCGTACATGTGTAATTTTTGCCAGTATCTTAATGACAGACTGAAGATGGCCCAAAATATTTTCTCCTCACAAAATGTGGTCCACCTTATAAAATATTTGGACACCCCTGACCTATACTTTTCGACTCTGTAAACAGTACTCAGACCCTGCTGCTTATAATGTCATAAATTAATTGACAGCTAAAGTTTGTTAAGTCTGTCACTTGGTGAAGGAGATACCCTGTCCACTGCACGGCAGTAACGTGCAAGGCAGTGGATAGTGAGCGACGCTATCTCACATCTAGAAAATTATTCACCACGGTCGTTGCTATCCTGCGTAGCTCAGTGATCTTAACCACAGACTGGCAACAATGAAGTTGCGGGTTCCAGCTCCAACATAGTCAAAGAGAATGCGAACTGCTGACCAGTCCCGAAAGGATTACGCATGTTTACTGGACACTTCCGGGCATGTGATGACTGTCTGAGTGAGTATAGATGTGACGAATTTCTATCTATAGCAACCCTGTTTGTTGCCCTTATACACATGCTGAATTTTATTCACACTGTAGACGTTCCTTCACTGACATTTTCATACATTGAGCTAGAACGTTGCTAATTACCCACCTTGGTGTAATTCCTCCTTTGACTCATACCTACATATGGTGCGGACTTATTGATTGGACTGTCAACCTCCTTGCTCTAAATTGCGTCTGAACGCAACTCTCTTGGTTGGCTGTGTGACGGGTTGTAGTTAATTTGAATAATGCCTCGATTTGGGTTTGCCGTAGTCCGGTTGCAATTTGAGAACAGAACTGTTGTACATTTCGTGGTCCGGACATTGTTAAGGTTTGGTCTAAATTGCTGCTACAATCGTTTATAAAATAACGCTCTAGTTCCCGTTCACTTTAGACTACTGAACGGAATCCCGGTTACGGCTTTTTTTAATCCACAAACGATTTATTGCTTACTGCCAACATGAAGGTAATGACAAAATGCTGAGGCCGTACGTCTGCAAGAAGTAGCGGTGGACTGCGGTCCCGTTCAAACACTTCAGGTCAACTGTGCTCGGGTTATAATGTCCTTGGGTCATTTTGAACATGCAGCGCATTTCCACATAGGCAGAGGGATAGGCATCGTAACTAGATTGCTCTCCTAAACCTTGCGCCTTAACCAACTTTTTAATACCATGACAAAGTTGTTTTTACGGCCAGTTAAATGGAAGGAATAGGTAAATATCGATTTGCGTTTCAAGTACAAATAGGTACAAGCCAGGACCGTTATGTTTAGGCTACATGTGTTAGATATTCGATTATGGAAGGAAAGAAGGAATAGGCACTGGCACTACGATGGTAGACAGTACCGACACTTCGTTACCATGCAAACAACACCATTAGCATGTGGGCTAATTATACTACGAGGGTCGCCGGGTCCCCTACGCAGGCTCGAACACACGCGCTTGAATCACAACTCAGGATAATCATCCTAAAGGCTCCGAGCTAGAGGGAGCCGCTTGAAAGACCTATATGTACCACATCTGTGGTTTTAGTGACTACTTTTATTAATATTTACAGACTTAGCTGGGCTTTTATAAGCCATTAAATTGACACCGACTGGTGGTCGCAACTTACTTGAAGTTCCAGGATGGCATTTTGTTCTTTTTGTCGAGTAGACTGCATTGCCGATTGTAGGTTATTGTTCATTGATCGCTCTTGATCTAACTGCTCTCGCAACTGCTCCAATTCCAACTCAAAATCATCCAATTGTGAGCGCAGCTGTTCTATTTCTGTCCTCTGCGCGTTCGTTTCACGTTGTGCGCTTGCTTTTTCACTTTCAAGGCGAGTGGAGATCTCACGCAATCTGGTTATCTCTGAGCTCAGGATCTCCAACTCGGCTCGCGTCATTTGAAGTTGTTCCGTTGTTTCAGCAGCTGTTCGCGACATTGCGCTACTCTGGAAGTTAAAGGCAGAATGTTACACGTTATCAACTAAGAGATGCTCCATGAACTTCGATACAGTAAATGATTGCTGCTCTGTCCGTCACAGCTGATAAATCAAACAATGTTTCCTGACGGATGGAACAGCACGGGTTTACTACTACTACTACTACTACTACTACTACTACTACTACTACTACTACTACTACTACTACTACTACTACTACTACTACTACTACTACTACTACTACTACTACTACTACTACTACTACTACTACTACTACTACTACTACTACTACTCCTACTCCTACTCCTACTCCTACTCCTACTCCTACTCCTACTCCTACTCCTACTCCTACTCCTACTCCTACTCATTTTACTCAGCTTTATGCAGCAGCTGAAGTTGCATTTATGATGCTTCTTCACCGCAGCTGAGCTAAACCAACTTACACTTAAACTTGGTCTCTTTAAGCTGGATACCTTTATTTTACATTATTTGCTTTATTCTGCCCACCTGAATAATCTTCTATTAACTTGCACACGTTGCTTACGCTAATTGCGCTTGTCTTCGTGAACTTTATTGGGTTGGCATCAATTTTCGAGTAACTTGTGGACATTTCGTACTTGTCGCTTCTTCCTTGCTAACCAACTTAATTCATGTGATAATTTAGCGAAGAGTTATGTCTGCATAGCCACATGCTTTACCAGATATGCATTTCGATAATGTTATTTCAAGTGGTTCGCTGTTGCTTGATATCCCCTGTGTGGCTGCGTTTGATGTGCATGTTGACAAGGTGCCTACCTGTCTGGAACTCACTACCTCGTCCATACGAGCTCCAGCAGACTTAGTCTTTGCTGGAGGGGACGGCGTGCACGGTCTCTGTGACCGTGATATGCTCGGAAGGTGGTTCCATGCACTCAGTGTGGAGCGGACTACTGTCCAGCCACCGCCTTGTGTGCGTATCATTCCCAAATACAGCGTGCCTGTTTTTGCTTGGGAAGGAGCGTGGGACGTCTCCGTTGATGTACTTTGGCTCCCATCAACCTGCCACCCAGTCATATTCGTTCGGGTTTACACTGGATATGGGGTGTGTGGTTGAAGCTGTGGGTGGTGCAGCGCAAGTCACCCATGGTCCCTCTGTAGGCGCAGGCGTGCTGTGGCTGGCCACTGTGACAGGCAAATCCGAAACCGGATGTCGCCAACTAATTTATCAATGGAAGAAACTGCCAATGCCAAACCAACAACAAAATTTGCTAGGCTGGACCTCCATATTTGGCTGTGCTTTAGGACTCCTATTTTTGGAAGTTATCAACATACACGTCCTCACATCTTACATTTTGCTCTATCGGTTCTTGTTTTAATACAGCACTCGACCCGCTCTACAAAGCTACCCATGCCATATCTTAAAATCGCTACGTTTTTCTACACCTATAACGCGTGCATTTTCGAACGGTTGCGTTATCAAGGACAAACTGAAACGAATTCATAAAACGGGTAACAATTCTGTTAGGGAACATCGTTCTGGATGGTGAGTTGCTCTTCGAAAGAGAATGACTGAGAGATCTGAGCGCCCAAGTATTGCTTAGCACCAACATCCGCTCGCTCTTGGGGAAATTAAATGAACTATTAAACGATATTTTCTCCAGTGAGCTACCGCGATTTGGAAAAATTGTTTAAAGGAACCTGGCTCAATGAAGCAGTGGATGATGCAGTCGTATTCGCTGGAGAAATTATTTGCCATTGGGTTGATCGCCCATGCACTTACCGAAACCGCGGTGGTAGAGTACTTGTTTACACCAATCCGTCTGGGTGCATTGCAACAAAACGTGTTTTTTTGCTTCGCCTCATAGGTTATCAATTGTTTAGTTATACAATGTAAGCCGAGTTGTTTGTATAGCTTCTGCTCCATATTGTTGGCTAACATCTACGTGTCTCCCACCTGTCCCAAAACTGAAGCTGAGAATTTCCATGATGAATTTATTGCACCTGTCATAGAACACATCGACCGTTCTCTGTGCATCTTCGGAGGAGATTTCAATAGTCGTGACACTAATTTTCTCACCGCTGTCGGGTTGCGAAACATCGTCAATATGCTCACAAGAGTAAAAGCAACATTGAACTTGATGTTTGTTACAAATGTGAAGTGGATCTCTGTATGTATTCGGGCTGCAATCGGCAATCCTGTTCACTCAACAATCAAGATTTCTCTATCATCTACAGCAAGAAAAGACAGCAATAATTCACTCGCTGCAATGATCGTGAGGTCAGGTGGAGACAGTGCTCTCCAGAAAATGTCAACAGACTAGGCGAAATGGTCACAGCGACGGGATTTAGTTTGTTCTTTGACCCGAATGTATCCAGATATTGTGATAATTTGACAAGCTATTTAAACTTCCGTTTTGATTTCTGTTGGCCTTTGAGAACTATTTACTTCCGTGCTGACAGTTTGTCCTCACGCGTCTAAAGTGGCTACGCCGGCTTAAGAGAAAGCGTTTGAGGTAAAAGTCGGCACTTCAGCATGATCTTTTGCAGGCAGAACTACACCGCCTTAACAAAATGTACGTCCCGTCTGTTCTTGGGAACGGCAGTTGTGAAATCTGGAGGATGCTGAAGACGCATAGTGAAGATACTCGACGTCCGCCTTACTTTGTTGTAGACGTAGAGAAATGGAGTCAGGTGTTCTACAAGTGTAATACTACTAGAGCTCCAGAGTCTTCCTGTGCCCAAGTTCTGAGGTCTGCGGAACCACTGACTCCGGCTGACAGTGCAATTTTAAATAATCTACTGAAATATCTACGTTCCGGTAAAGATAAAGGGGCGACATACTACCTACTTTCTTAATCAAAGAATGTGCGGATTCCTTACCGACTTCCCTTGCGAGTACATACAGGGGACAAAGGACGCATGACAGTGATTTTGAACAAAGCAGTGTACATTAACAATGCAAAGAAATACAATCCGACACAACTACAAATCGTAAGATCGATCAAGACACAAGGTCGAAAGATGTAAACCAGATCAAGGCTAAGCTGAAGAAATCACAAAAAAGAAAAAGCTCGTCGACAAGGAGAGAGGGAAAATGAAAACTGATAATACAAATAATTCACTGTTATACGGACAATAAAAAGCGATCAAAGATAGAGTCCCACTAATACCAATGGTCTTACTCCACCGAACTGCATCACATAAACAATGGAAAAATTTGTGGATGAGGTTGAAAAACTTGATTGTTGCATCCCAACGTGGCATCAACAATGATTAAAAAAATCGAGAAAAGCTGCGCGGTGTCAGCATAGAAGCCGACGAAGTAATGCTTTCATTCGATGTCACCGCACTCCACACTTCAATCGGTCACTAGTTGGCCAAATAAAGAATGATGAAACTACATGGGAATCAAATAAGCTCAACGACAATACTACGAGCGGAAAATTTTTAGGAACCCCTAAACTTCTGCATCCTCACACATATCCGCATTGACGACAAGTGTATCAGCAACTGAGAGGAACAACAACGGGATCGTCCATTTCGGGGCGCAATGCAAAAGCCGTAATGCAGAAATTGGAGCGCATTGCACTGTCATCCATCAGCGACCAAAACGTTACATACGATACGTGGACGACACACTTGGCATCCTAAATCAGAACAGAGTGCAGGCCACGCACGATTTATTCAAAAGCACATTCGTGGATGTGAAATTTACGAGTGAATTAGACGAGAATAACAAGCCACCGTTTTTGGATGTACTGGTCACTAGGAATACCAACAGATCTCTGCAAACGTGAGTCTATCGGAAGCAAACGCATACGGATCAGGCATTATATTACTACAGCATCCACCAGATGAACCACAAAGAGAACTGCATTCAAATGCTGTTGAAAAGAGCGGAAGGAAACTCACTGCAGCACAGAGGAATCGCGAAAACAGCAAGATAAGCATCTCTATCAAGTGTTTAGAAACAACAATTATCCTAGACATTTCAACCGAAGATGCCTAAAGAAACGAACCCATCAACCACAGCCGCAGTAGTAGTCACCTGAGCAAGCAAACAAACAGGTAGTGCTCCCCTACATCAAGAATGTCTCCCAACTAACAGGGAGATTGCTACAGTCACATGGAATCTCTGTGGCTCACAAACCAATTGCCAACCTAAGGAAATTGATCTCAAGACCAAGAGGAACTGTCTATCAAGCCTAACAATGCAGCGTCATCTACCAGATAAAGCGTAACGACTGTGATAAAAACTGCGTGGGACAAACTGGAAAAAAGCGTTGTACACGAATCACCAAATACAAGGCGTACGTCAGAAGACACGATCCGCACACATTGGTTTCTTTTCATGAAGCTCAAGAAGGCCAAAATTTCGATCTGGAGAATGTAAAGCTCCTGGCACACATAAGTCCAAAACACGAGAGTGAGTCTTTGGAATCCCGGTACTCTGCAATGAATTCACTCAATAGACACCTCGAATTGGACGCAGTATACGCAACACTACTGGCGAACGACCGCCAACTCAATCGATGTAATCCGGTAGGACGTGTGACTACAACCAGAACTGACAACAGACTCGCTCACAAGCGCAAGCGGACAAATGCCACGAAACAGTCAAGGTCAAAGGTCATCCGCCTATCAACCAGGCTAAAAGCGGACCGAAATCCCAACCAATAGGCTTGCGCGTCTCCACGGGCATGCACGGAGGCATAAAACCGCATGCAAACCACGCTCAAGGTACTCTCACCGAGGCGCCTCTATACTATTCTACGCTACTGTACGCCAGTGAACTACGCACTGATAATGTCGCCTCGGTTGGTGACGGAAAGTTTGCAACCAACTTCTCAAGCTCAGCGAACAGTTTAACTGTCATGTCAACAATCTGAGGTACCAGTCTTCAATTCTATAGTCACACAATGTGTATGCAGCAACACAAAGTAGCCGACTGCTGGGGAAACGTCAATATTACACTAATGCCGTAGAAAGGATCAAAGAAATACCGAACTATCGCGTGCACTTCAGTTGCT